GGGGCTCCTTGCTTCGGGGAACCCTACTCTGTTGTCCCCTTTCCCTCCACTGGCCCGCGCGGGTCCCGGACTACGAGATGGGCTAGGCCCGGGGTGAGTCGGTTACGGCGAACAGAGACATCCAAGTATTACAAAGTTTTTGTAAGGGCTCCACGATGGGCCTCCGTCTAAAAAAATAAAAAAATTTAAAAAATGCTGATAAGTTACTGGGTTGAAGGAACGTAGAGGAGTACGTTTTAGTGTCATCATCTAGTTGCAGATAGGTTCTGACTTAAGATGTTAGTCACCTCAAACCATGTATGGTGTAGAAATGCGAGAAATGTGGCGATTTTACACTCTTAATTATGGGGAAAGTATTTAAGGGGTGTTAAAAGTAATATAGTTTTAAAGTAAAAGAGAATATGTGTTGTAGATCTGACACAGTTGGCCATGAGAAATGTGGCGATTTTACACTCTTAATTATGGGGAAAGTATTTAAGGGGTGATAAAAGTAATATAGTTTTAAAGTAAAAGAGAATATGTGTTGTAGATCTGACACAGTTGGCCAACACTTAAGTCAGTTATAGAGAGAAGGACCAAAGACATTAGAAACTGGTTTTAACCGTGACGTAAAAGAAAATTTAAGCTTAGGGAAGACTTTAGTGCTTTGCTTTATATACATATTGGAATGTTTCAGAATAATGATGTGAAGTACTTCTTTTTTGGTAAAATATGAAACTGATCAAGAGTTTTTAAATTGGGGTCCATAGAAAGAATTTAGGTCGTCCATGAACTTGGATGGAAAGAAAGGTATACTATTTCATTAAACCTTAAAAACTAACATTTACTTTAATTATGAATCTAAGCAACAAATCACAATAGTATTTGTGAGCCATCAGTGGAAATCACAAATATTTCCATATCACATTACAGGTACAGATATCTAGAAATACTGTTTGTGCTTATTTTTTCAAAATTACAATAATTATCACTCATCACTGATCTTGTTATTTAATGCGGTAGAGAAGCATAGACAAATATATCACAATTTTATTTTTTAGGACTATTTTAATTTAATTCATTTTCTTGTAAATCCTGCATGTATTTAATCACACTGGTCAGAGAAGAGGTCCACAGGCTTCACCAAATTCCAAAGGGGATGTAAGGCACAGAGAAAGTTCAGAACTCCTGTTATAATAGCAACAATCCAGGCTTGTCCAGCTTCTCAGTGAGTTTTGTATGAGTCTCTACGTTCTGGATATTAAAAAATTGTTTTATGTAATAAACTGCTGGATTTTAACTTCTAGGCAAATTTGTTCGTTGAGTGCTTAACAGTGGTTTGAGTGTCAGATTCACTTTGGAGAGTTTTAGAAAACACATTTCTCTAGTGAAAACTTGTTAAACTGAAGTCCCTGAGAAACTGACATGCCTTTCAGAAAATACTACTGAAAAGCCTTTTTACACCTTTTGGCGTACAGTTGAAATCTAAGGGGACAGCCTGGAACTTGTATCCTTTCAACTGACCCTAGTTGGTGAATATCATGTACTACCTCTGTGCATGGAAATTTGGAGTAGGAAATGAAAACAAAATATTTGTTGTATTTTGGTTTTTGAGGGACAGAAAAGAAAACAAGACTGCTAGCCAAAAAGTAAACGTTATGATTAATAGACCACACTTCCGTTGCAAAAACAGTTCTGTTGTGTTTAAAATTAAAAAACAAACAAACAAAAAAAACCCTGTTTACCCGCTCCTTAGGAATATGTTTTTAATTTACTAATGCTATTCTTTGAGCAGTTTGATTAGAAGCATTTGTTTTAAAACGGGTTGTGACAGCATCTACATTTTGGATCTTGTCTAACATCTGAATAGATAAGTATTATGGGAGAACTGTCCACTAACGTTCCAAGGGAGAAAAACCGCATACTTCCTGTTCTGGAAAGTGAAGAGTGTGACTTACTTCATTTGTGACTTTAGAACCTTCTTCTTATGTGGTAGTATCAATTTAGTAAAATTTAGGATTATGATTAAGACCATAAAAATTCAGATAGTAGAGTATTTTATTTTAGTTTGAGTGATCATTTAAAGAAATACTGTTGTGATGTGGGAAAAGTCTTTTTGTTATGCAAGTATATGTCTACACCATTCTTTTAAATTTGTTTTGAAAACTTTGGACTGTAATATTTCAAAAACAGAAAATGGAAGGCCTCTAAAATCAATGTAAATGTCAAATAGTCTCTTAACTTGATGCCTAACAATAGGGTAACTATTTTTGCATGTGCCTAAGGTGCTGTTCTTTACTATTTCCTAAATGTCATTGTACGTATTTTCCAATTTAATTGGTGCCCCAAATAAAGGGAAAGTAGATTTTTATTATTCAAAATAAATTCTTGTTGTAAGTAAAATAGTTATTCATCATATTGGAAATTTAAAGTGGAAATTAACACTATGATAGTCCTGAGATATAGCATGCATATACTATAGAAAATGTACAGCAATACTAAATTTATAACTTAGGCTCTGAATTTTTTAGGAAGAATAGTTACTAATAGGCCTTTGTTTCATTGTTGCTTTATGTAAAACCAGTGAACCATACTTTCATTTTTCTATTTTCTTCTCTTGAATCAGAGTTTTTTCTAATATCTTCTTGTTAAACCACTATGAAATTTACCAAATAGCATACAAGTTTATTACAAATAGTTTGTCACACAGGTTACACCAATGATTGCTGAAAAATTCAAACAAATTACCTACACTGAGTAAATTTAGATGAGCTAATGTGTAGAGGATTTAATTAAGCTAAAACTTTGGCTCTTCTTACTCTACTAGAGTCAAATCACTTGAGACCACCCCCACACAAAAAACTGCTAGACCTAATATATGAACTCAGCAATATTGCATGATACAAGATCAACATACAAAATGAATTGTATTTGTATACACTGATAATTAACAATCTGAAAATGAAATTAACAAAATAATTTTATTGTAGCATCAGAGATAGTGAAATCCCTTAGGAATGAATTTAACAACTACAAAATGCACAATTTGTATACTGAAGACTACAAAACATTGTTGAGAGAAATTAAACAAGACCTAAATAAAGGGAAAAGAATTATTGTGTTCATATAATAGGAAGTGAGCTACAGATTTAATGCAATACTATCAAAATTCTAGTTGCCTTTTTTTGCACAAATTGACAAACGGATCCTAGAATTCATATGGAAATGCAGAGGACCTAGAATAGCCAAGGCAGTCTTGAAAAAGAACAACAAAATTGGAGGACTCACATTTCCTGATTGTAAAACTAACTACAATGCAACAATAATCAAGACAGCATGGTGCTGGCATAAAAATAAACATATAGATCAATGGAACAGAATTGAGGGTTTAGAAATCCTTACATTTATGGTGAATTGATTCTTGTATCCAGAATATGTAAAGAACTTGTAAAGCTCAGCAATAAAAAGAACAAATAGTTCAGTTAAAAAACAGGCAAAGGATTTGAGTATATATTTCTCCAAAGAAGATATTCGAGTGGCAGATAAGCACATAAAAGATGCTTAATGTTATTAGTCATTAGGGAAATGCAAATGGAAACTGCAGTGAGATGCTACTTCACACTCACTAGGATGGCTAAAATAAAAGACAGATAATAACTAGTGTTGACAAGTATGTGGAGAAATTGGAACCCTTGTATATTGGGAATGTAAAATGGTGAAGCCACTTTGGAAAACAGTTCGGCAGTTCCTCAAGATATTGAATATAGAGTGTATGGTCAAGCCAATGCACTTGTATACCCTAGAAAAATGAAAACATTTGTCCACACAAAAACTAGTACATGAGTGTTCATAGCAGCATTATTCATAATAGTCAAAAAGTGGAAACAACTGATGAATGAATAAACAAAATGTGGTATATCCATACAATGTAGTATTATGTAGGCATCAAAAGAAATTAAGTACTGATATGTGCAACAACACAAGTGAACTCTGAAAACATGCTGAGTGGAAGAAGCCAAACACAAAAGGCCACATGAGTGGTTCCATTCATATGAAATGTCCAGGATAGGCAAATCCAGTAAGATGGAAAGGTTAGTGGTTGCCAGTGGCTGGATAGAGGGGATAATGGAGAGTGACTGCTAATGGGTGGGTTTTTGGGGTGGTAAAAATTTTCTGGAATTAGTGGTAGTGATTGCACAACCTTGTGAATGTGCCAGAAACTACAGAATTATACACTTCAAAAGTGTGAATTTTATATGTGAATTATATCTCATTAAAGGTCTTATCTAAAAAAAAAAAGGCATTTTCTTAATAAGGCTTCCTCTATTTTCTTTGGTCTAGGGCCTGGTCAAGTGATCTATTGTTTCACTGATGTTTTTGACATCTTAAAAGCTGTTTTACTTTCTTGGCTAACAGAAGCCCAACAGAGGGCGTTCTATTTCTAATTGAGGTAACCTCAAGTTATTTTTTTCTTTAGGTAGAAACTGATTGATTGAGAGGACAAGTCAGTGCATTGAAAGGTACTTGCCTATAAAATATGTAGTAAATATATAATTAATATCTGTAATAAAATTTTTTACTTTCTTGGCTAACAGAAGCCCAACAGAGGGCGTTCTATTTCTAATTGAGGTAACCTCAAGTTACTTTTTTTCTTTAGGTAGAAACTGATTGATTGAGAGGACAAGTCAGTGTATTGAAAGGTACTTGCCTATAAAATATGTAGTAAATATATAATTAATATCTGTAATAAAATTCTAAGGCTTGTCAGGAAAAAAATTGCTTGAGGTAACTTGACTTAGAATATTAAATGACTTGAAATAATGAGTTATACAAAAATTGAATTCTACTGTACCTTTAAGTGAAAGTGATTTGGAGTTTCTTTAAGCCAACCCTCCTTTTCAAGCCCTGGTTTGTACTTAGGGAATTTGAATATTAAGTATTCATTTTACAGTATTTATTGGTAAACTTAAACTGGTAAAGGCATTTCAGATCATTGGATTTTGTTTATAAAATCAGCTGTGGTAGTAACTACTAAAATATCTTCCTTCTTAGTCATTTTCAAAAGATCATCAGTTTACTTTCAGAATGTATAGGATATCAGATAATATTTAAATAATCTAGCTTATTAAATGTATTTACTCTCAAGTTGACTCAACCCCAAGCATATCTCTCTCTCCCACTCCCTGCCATTTTTTTTTTTTAAACTACAAAATGCACAATTTGTATACTGAAGACTACAAAACATTGTTGAGAGAAATTAAACAAGACCTAAATAAAGGGAAAAGAATTAGCTTAAAAGATACTAACGAGATAGTAGCTGTCTAGGATTTTTGACAAAGTGGTGTGGGTGGACATGTAGCTAAGCTGCTAATTTGAAAGCATTAACCTAGAAGGATTTCCTTTTTCCTTCTATGGAACTATTGAATATTTTTTCTATATTTACTGTATCTCTTGGTTTTCTTTGTTTGTTTTTGTTTTTAAGAAACTATAGTGACCCTGAAACCGAAGGAGAGATTTTTAATTCCTTAGTGCAATATTTTGGTGATAATTTGGGGCAAAAAGTTAAAGCGATGCCATTAGTTGAAGAAACTTCTTTACTTGAAGATTCATCAGTGACTTTGCCTGTGGTGATAATAGGTATGTTATTGCATTTTACTTCTTAAAGTTACAGTTGTGATCCTTACTACTTTTATATATCTGCAGTTAGGATTGTATTGAAAAGTATTCTTAGATTGTTTGCTATGTTCAAATAACTAATAACCAAATCTTTGGAGAGAGTGTCTTGGTTTATCTGATGTTAGAGTCTGTGTTAGAATACAATATCTTTTCATTGAAGGACTGATATTACTATGTGTGTGTATGTGTGTATATTTTTTGTTTGTTTGTTTTTGGTGGCTGGTTGGTATGGGGATACAAACCCTTGACCTTGGTGTTACAACACTGCACTCTAACCAACTGAGCTAACTAGCCAGCCTCTATGTTATTTTAAAGTATTGCTTATCATTTGTGTTAACTATATGACAGTGTCATGGTAGTGATGATAACCAATATTATTAGAGCTGTGTACTGAGTATTCTGTGTTTATTATTGGAGTATACCTTACAACTCTATAACTTTCTGATGTTGGAAGGGTGGATACAGACAGGGAAGCTGACTTATGTTTAGTGACTTGTGTAAATTGGTAACCAGTGCTCAGTTAGCAGTGACATTATATTACTCTGCAGTAATGTTTATAATTACCTTAACCATAACATTACTATTATATATCCTTTGTACCACCTCAACAGATAGGCATAGAAGGTATTAAAATTTAAGTTATCAATGAAACATACTTAAAGAGTTTTTATAGGTTAGTTTCATTGCATGCATTTAATTACCTGTCATGTATATTTTTTACCTAATACTCAAACTCAAGAAAGTCAAACAAGTACTATAATGAAAGCCAAGCCAAAGGAGAGAATTATGGGACATGAGTGCCTTATGATTTCCTGAGTTTCTTTGATAGCTTGTTTCAAAGTTAATAGGAAGGGAAGAAAAGTGATGTACTCTGACTGGCATATGGGAGATCCTAGGAAGGAAGAAAAAGGAGGATAGCGAGATTGTTTTTCTATAGTAGATGCCCCTCTAGGGGATATGATGGAGATGACAGTTTTGTAGTAGTTACCATCCAAGGTAGATCTCAGGAGCTATACGTTTCATTTTCTTTCCCCCTTATGTCCAAACCAGTTTTTTTTTTTTTCCCCTTCCTTCCTGGATGTCTTGGAATAAGTAAGGAACCCTGTCTTCTTGTCTGGCTAGGCTATAGGAGGGTAAGAAAAGGAAACAGATCACTTCATCTACACCTGCCCACCTCACTTCCCCCAAAGCAATCTATCCCTGTTTAACCTCAGCTAAGCTTAACCTAATGTATATAGGGCCCTTACTGTTGGCAGTAGCACCACTAGTAGCACAGATAAAGAGCTAATTTCCTTGATATATATGTTGGATTTCTGTTGATGTTGTAACAATTTACCACAAACCTAGTGGCATCAAACAACAAAAATGTATTATCGTACTGTTTTATATAAGTCAGAAGTTCAGCAGGGGTCTGAATGGGCCAAAATCAAGGTGTCAGCAGAGGTGCGTTAACTTTCTGGAGGCTATAGGGAAGAATTTGTTTCCTTGCAATTTCTCATTTCTAGAGGCTGTTCACATTCTTTGGCTTCTGGCTCTCTTCTGCATCTTCAAAGCCAGTGAAGTCATTTCTTTCTCAACCTTTCATCATCACCCTCTAATCACAGCTGGGGGAAGTTCTCTGTTTTTAAGGACTCATGTGATTAGATTGGACCCACCTGTATAGTCCAGGATATTTACTCTCCATGTCAAGGTTCTTAATCACATCTACAAAGTCCTTTATTGTGTAAGGTAATATTTGCAGGCTCTGGGGGTTAGGATTGGGACATCTTTGGGGATGAGGGGATTGTACTTCTCCGTACCAGGATATATTTCTCTATGAACTGCCTATTTCTCTATCTTTGCCTATTGTCTTTTGAGTGTCATATCTTTTCTGTTTCAAGGAATTTAGCTCTTTATCTCAGATCCTAACTTCCCTTATATATCATTTATTTATTTATTTTAATAAATAGGCTTTATTTTTTAGAACAGTTTTGATTTACAGAAAAATTAAGCAGAAAGTACAGGTAGTTCTCATATATTTCTCCTTCCCCCCACCAATTGCCACCATTAATAAAATTAACATCTTGCATTGGTGTAGTACGTTTGTTACACTTGATGAATCAGTACATTATTATTAACTAAAATCTGTAGTTTACATTAGGGTTCACTCTTTGTTATGTATAGTTCTGTGGGTTTTGCTAAATGTATAAAGTCACGTATCCACTATTACAGTATCATACAGAATAGTTTCACTGCCTTAAAAATCTGTGCTCCACCTATTTATACCTTTCCTCAACCCCACTCTCCAGCAATTACTGATCTTTCTACTGTCTCTATAGTTTTGCCTTTTCTAGAATGTCATATAGTTAGAATTATAGACTATGTAGCCTTTTCAGACTTTGACTTAATAATATACATTTATGATTCCTTCATGTCTTTTTGTGGCTTGATAGCTCATTTCTTTTTATCACTGAATAATATTCTATTGTGTGGATATACCACAGTTTGTTTATCCATTCACCTTTTGAAGGACATCTTGGTTGCTTCCAATTTCTGACAGTTATGAATAAAATTGCTATAACCATTTACGTGCAGGTTTTTGCACAGACACGCATTTTCAACTAATTTGGGCAGATACCTAGGAGTGTAATTGCTGAATCATATATAGTAAGACTATGTTTAGCTTAGTAAGAAACTGCCGAACTGTCTTCCAATGTGGACATTTTCAACTAATTTGGGCAGATACCTAGGAGTGTAATTGCTGGATCATATATAGTAAGACTATGTTTAGCTTAGTAAGAAACTGCCGAACTGTCTTCCAATGTGGCTATATAATTTTTTTATACTTGATGAACCAGTATTGGTACGTAATTGTTGACTAAAATCTGTATTTTATATTAAGGTCCCAGTAGCAGTGAAAGAGAGTTCCTGTTGTTCTATATTCTTGTCAGCATTTGGTGTGGCCTATACATATTTTGGATTTTTTAGCCATTCTGATAGATGTGTAGTGGTATCTCATTGTTATTTTAATTTGTAATTCCATAATAAAGAATGATGTTTAGGATCTTTTCATATACTTATTTTCTATCTGCATATTATCTTTGGTGAGGTGTCTGATCAGACTTTTTGCCTACTTTTTAAAAATTTTTTTTGGTGTTTGGCCAGTACAGTGATCAAACCCTGGATCTTGGTGTTATCAGCACCACACTCTAACCAACTGAGCTATCAGCCAGCCTTTCGCCTACTTTTTAATTGGGTGGTTTGTTTTTTATTGTTGAGTTTTAAGAGTTATCCGTATTTGAAAATATTTTCTCACAGTCTGTGACTTGCCTTTTCATTTTCTTAGCAATGTCTTTTGCAGAACAAAAGTTTTAAATTTTAATGTTGTCCTACTTATCAATTTTTTTCTTTCATGGATCCTGCTTTTGGTGTTGAATCCAAAAGATTATTACCAAACCCAAGTTCACCTAGATTTTCTGCTAAGTTATCTCCTAGAAGTTTTATAGTTTTGCATTTTACATACAGGCTGATGATTCATTTTGAATTAATTTTTGTGAAGGTGTAAGGTTAGTATCTAGATTTACTTTTTTGCATGAAGGTGTCCAGTTGATCCAGCACCATTTGTTGACAAGAGTATTCTTTCTCCATTGGATTGACTTTGCTCCTTTGTCGAAGATTAGTTGACTACATTTGTGTGGGTCTGTTTCTGGGTTCTCTGTTCTGTGCCATTTATCTATTTGTCTGTTCTTTCACCAATTCCATACTGTCTTCTTTACTGAATCGTTATAATAAGACAGAAAGTTGAGTAATGTCAATCCTCTAACTTTGTTCTTCTTTAATATTGTGTTGGCTACTCTGGGTCACTGCCTTTTCTATATAAACTTTAGAATCAGTTTGCCAGTGTCTACAAAGTAATTTGCTAGGATTTTTTATTGGGATTGCATTAAATCTGTAGATCAAGTTGTAAAGAACTGATGTCTTAACAGTATAGTTTCTGGGGCTGGCCCGGTGGTGCACTGGAGAGTGCGCCGCTTGGGAGCGTGGCGGCGCTCCCGCTGAGGGTTTGGATCCTATGTAGAGACCGGTTCCCGCTCACTGGCTGAGCGTGGTGCGGGCGCAACACCGAGGGTTGCGATCTGTTGCTGGTCCCCGGTACGGGCGCAACACCGAGGGTTGCGATCCCATTACCGGTCAGTAAAAAAGACAAAAAGGAAAAAAAAAAAACCAGTATAGTTTCTTATCCATGAACATGTAATATCTTCATTTATGTAAATTTTCTTTGATTTCTTTCATCAGGTTTTCCTCATATAAATCTTGTACATATTTTGTTAGATTTATACCCAAGTATTTCTTTTTTTTTTTTTTTTTGGTGCAAATGTAAGCCGTATTGTGTTTCTAATTTCTAATTTTACTAGTTCATTGCTGGTCTGTAGGAAAGCAATTGACTTTATGTATATTGACCTGTATCCTGCAACCTTGCTATAATTGCTTGCTAATTCCAGGAGTTTCTTTTGTCAGTTCTTTAGGATATTCTACATAGATAATAATGTCATTTGTGAACAAAGACAATTTTATTTCTTCCTTCTCAATCTGTATATCTTCGATGCCCTCTTCTTGGCTTATTGCATTCGCTAGGACTTCCACTGTGTTGAGTAGAAGTGGTGAGAGGGGGGCATTTTTATCTTGCTCCTGATCTTAGAGGAAAAGCATCTTGTTTCTCACCATTAAGTATGATGTTAGCTGTAGACTTTTTTTGTGGATGCTGTTTATTATGTTGAGGAAGTTCCCCTCTATTCCTAATTTGTTGAGTTTTTGTTTCTTGGGGTTTTTTCCATGAATGGATGTTGGAATTTGTCAAGTGCTTTTCTGCATCTATTGATAATAGCATATGGTTTTTCTTCTTTAGTTTTTTATCTTTTTGATTCCAGAAAATTAGCTCTTTGCCTCAGATCCTAACTCCTACTATTTGTCCTATGTTTTTAATTTTTACCAAGTCAAATGGTTTCTTTGCCTTTTTGTCTTTTGGGCTTTCTAGCATGCTTAAAAGCTTTCCATTCCAGCATTTCAGGTAGAAATATTACCCTTTGTCTAATATTCTTATGGTCTTTCTTTTCTTATTTACATCTTTGAGTATATTTTATTTGGGATAACGTATTACGTAAGGAACAGGATTCTTTTTTGATGGCTAGCAGTTTTCCCAGTTGGATTAAATTTGTGATAGAGATAATAAAGAAGTGGCAACCTAGACTAAAGGAGCTGCATAAATGGAAGTAGTTCAACAGGGTTCAATGGGAAATTCAGTTTGGTTTTAGTTTAAGCTTATAAACATGTAGAGAGACAGTGTTAAGTGCTGGGACTGGAAAGATGGTTGAGACTGGAACATAGAGAACACTAGATCGTCAGAAACGAGCAGTTAAGGCTTTTAGAATAGAGGGGTGATTTGATAAGGATTGTGTGCTACCAAAACTCATCTAATTGCAGTATGTGAAATGATTTGAGAGTGGATGAATCTTAGGAAGGAGAAATTGCAGGAGACTTTTGTCTTCTAGGTGAGAGTATAGCAGTGAGAATAGCAAAGACAACTGACAGGCTATAGTTGGCAAAATTGGTTTAGAGCCAGAAACTGATTAATTTTGGATTTTGCTAGTACCATGCTTGGAGGTTAGATAGAGTTTAAAGGAGAGGGCACCTAAATTAAGGGACACGTGAGTTTGCTTTTGTTCACATTGTGTTTAAGTTAATTAATAGTGAGTCAATCAGATGGAGTAAAGAAGTAACATATGGAAATGTGGGATATATTCTTGGGAAAGAGGTCAGCCTAGAGAACTAATTTTGGGAGTCCGTAGTATGGAGTTGAAGCCTTGAGTAGACAAGATTCCCAAAAGGAGAGAAGGCAAAGGTTAGAATCTTGTGAAACACCTAATTTTAAGAGATTAGAGAAGGAAGAATTGGTGAGGAATGAGTCATATTTGAAGTAAGAGAAAAAGCCAAGGAACAAGAGTATTAAGATGTATGATATATCTCTTTTCACTTTTTTTTTTTTTAAATAGGAAATGGACCCTCAGGAATATGCCTTTCTTATATGTTATCAGGCTACAGACCATATTTATCATCAGAAGCAATACACCCAAATACAATCTTACATAGTAAATTAGATGAAGCAAGACATCTTTCCATTGTTGATCAGGTATTATTTCTTATATGTCAATTTTTTTATTTTTTTAATGCTGAAACAAGACTATTTTTTATTTATATCAGCATTGTTTCTTATTTGAAAATCCTTTATTCCAAATAACTCTTTCTATTATTATTATTTTAGATTCATAAATATATTCTGCTGAGTTACTTGTATTTATTTTCTTGACTTTATTAGAGCAGAATTTCCCAAATTATTTCCTGATGGTGTTTTAATAGGTACTGTATTACTCAAATAAATTTGAAAAGTGTTGCTTTGTATTATTGGAGATCATGGTAGACATTAGCATGTTAAAGGCATCTTTAAGTTTTAAAGTGTAAGGATCTGGTTTAGCTTTGTTAAAACCCAACCTTTTTTTGTGTATGTTTGACCAAAGAGTATTAAGATCTCAGTGAACCTCAGTGTTCTATACCAGACCATCTGAGAAATGCTAGATTAGAGTAATGATCCTTACCATTAACTGTTTTGGCTTTTTTCAAACTCTACCTTTTTTTATTCAGGACTTAGAATACTTGTCTGAGGGCCTTGAGGGCCGATCATCCAATCCAGTTGCAGTACTTTTTGACACACTTCTTCATCCAGATGCTGACTTTGGGTATGATTATCCATCCGTTTTGCATTGGAAACTAGAACAACATCATTATATCCCACACTTAGTTCTTGGTAAAGGTCCACCTGGTGGGGCTTGGCATGTGAGTATATTTTTCTTAGTATTTTAGCATATGTGAATTAGTATATGATTGTTAAGCATTGTGATAATACTGTTATATATGATGTTTATCACACTTTTATCTAAGAAGAATTTTAGTTCAGTTAGTTAAATATGGATTAATTACTAATAGTAGTTAATTAAGCCAAATTTGATTACTGATACAGTCTTAGAATAAGCATTTCTCTATACTATCTTATAAGAATTACATAGAAAAAAAATTCAGGAGTATTTTGCATAATAAATTTATTTATTTATTTATTTATTATTTTATTTATTTATTTTTTCCTTTTTGTCTTTTTTACTGGCCGGTAACGGGATCGCAACCCTCAGTGTTGCGCCCGCGCCACGCTCAGCCAGTGAGCGGGAACCGGTCACCACATGGGATCCGAACCCTCCAGTGCGCCACCAGGCCGGCCCTATATATTTATTTTAAGTTTACACAATCTCACACAGTATTTCAAACCAACGTTTATTATTTCTCTATATTTTCAAGATCTTAAATAAAAATGTATTGTAAAAGAAAGAGGTTGTGTTAGTCTCTTTTTGTGCTGTAGCAGAACACCATAGAATGGGTGGCTTAAACAACCAGTCTAGACTTCAGAATTATGATTGATGGTGGGAAGGGAGCTGTCTTGTTGCTAAGTTTTAAAAATCTGTTAAAATTAAAATGGAAAAACATCGTTTTGGAAATTGATGAACACTTTTCCATTTGTTTAAAAAGTGAAAATATTGATTTGTTCTTTAACATGATATTGTACATTTGAATTTCATGGTGATCATAGGCCAAAGCTATCAACATTGTGAGGACATTGGGGTAATGCTGTAACTTTGTTTTGTAAATATAAAATATGAAAGAAGAAATACATAAGAATAATACAAAATGATGGAAGTATATAAAAAGTTTATTGGAATAAAGTTTCAGAGGTAATTTACATGAGCAGTTAGGACTGCTTGAGCACACCAGAGTCTTAATTATGGTAAATGAGATGGATTTGGCTAAAAAAAAAAGTCCATGTTACTTCTTAATTGTGTTTTTGACTGTACTTTTTTTTATTCTAATAGAATATGGAAGGCTCCATGTTGACAATCAGCTTTGGAAATTGGATGGAGCTACCTGGACTTAAATTTAAGGATTGGATGTCTAGCAAACGAAGGTAAAGATCAAACTGTGTTAAAAATTCTTTGGTGTATAATGAAAAAGAGATCGTGAGAATATTTCAAAATGTTTGTTATTCTGTCTTGGATGAAGAATATAAATGTACATATCTTTCAAATAAAAATTTCTCCTTGAAGCAGTGATTATAATAAGCTAGTTTCCATTTAGAGATACTACAAAACTAAGCACAGGAGTAATGGATTGTTTACAGATTGATTTCCTATGACTTTGTTTATCACAGATTTATCCCACTCTCCTGTTAGATCACCCTCTGTTTAGTTACTTTCTTATCCACCAGAATGTCATTTTCCACACTTTTGTGAGTATATTTTTAGCTTCATGTATGCATGTCTCATGTGTACATCCTAAAGTGTTTGACTTTCAGGGTAAAGAGTATGTACTGTGTAATGATCATGTAGAGTGATGGAATAAAATAGAATCTGGGCTATGGTTGGCTACTTGGGTATGAAGGTAAATATTTAATAAAAGATATGAAAGTAAGAAGAAATATCTTGGAAGAATACAAGTTTACTTATTTGGGGGGAAAGAACCCCAAACTTAAAAAGAGAAATACGAAAATCACTATCATTTACAACGATAGTAAATATTAAAATTAGATAGGAATTACTAACACAGAGAATCTACTCAAATTTGACTACTCACAGAAACAATAAATTAAAAGCAGGAAGTTACTTAACCTTTATTAGAACATGAATGTAACATTTCAGTACTTCTTGCTAGATAGAAACCATGTTAATCCTCGGAAATTTTCCTTAATTTGAGGAAACTTAAGGAACACAAATTTTGATCATCATGGGTAATTGACATTAAACCTTTCAAAACATTTATTTTAGGTTTTTAAAAAAGGAATTATAAATAGGTTTGAAACTTAAAGTTGCAAAGTCAGGCAAGTTGTGCAAGTTCTTGATTTTCGTAAGTAAGCAAGTGGAATTGCTCAACATATTCTTCCCTTTGTAAAATGGATAAGAAAGGGAAACCTTTATGATTTATTTACCAGAAGTGTTTTATCTTTCTAAGTTATGCATTGTGTTTTGAAGCAGTATGGGAAAATGAATCTTGTGATAAATATTAGCTTTAGTTCCTACCTTTGTTAACAGCAGATTCTTAGGTCTGTAGAGGTTGGCAAGGTTTGAGTCATGACTGTATAACTTACAACGTTTTGTCCCTGGAAAAGAACTTAACCTAGTTGTCAATTTCCTACTGTGTAAAATGGAAATAATGATAGTAGTAACTACTGCATAGGGTTTCTGTCAAAATTGAGAGTTGATACATTCTTTTTTTTTTTT